TCTCAACCTTGGCAACTTTAAGATATGTGGACTTCAACTCCCAGAAATTCCCCGCCCGCATGGGGGATTCTTGGAGTTGAAGTCCACATATCTTAAAGTTGCCAAGGTTGAGAAACCTTGCTACAGTCTGGGAATTTAGCCTGTTTTGAGACCCATCTGGTGGCAGGGAGTTCCATAAGGTGACTTGGGTGAAAAAGGAGTTTTTAAGGAGTTTTAAGTTATCGACCACCCTAAATCTACCTTCGGTGAAAAAAGGCCCCGGGGCTGTAGATTTACTTTCTGCGAGGGTATTCGAGGGGCAACGGGACTTCCTGAGATGAAAATTTGGAGGGTTTCCTTTCCTTTCCCAGCTCTCGGGCTCCCGCGCTGGCTTCTTCAACCTCAGCATCTCGACTTAGCAAAAGGCCATTTCCCCCCCTTAAATAAAGCAGGAATGATTCAACCCTCCTTAGGACTGCCATGAAGCTTCCCCCAGATCTGATCGGCCCTTTCCTATTTTATCCACATGCCCTCTCCTTCCTCCTTTGAATTCCCCTTAATTTCAGGCCCCCTTCCAGCTTGCTGTTCCGTCAAAACCTGAACGAATATTTTGAAACAGCGAAACAAAACCGAAATAAAGAACGAAGAAAGGAGAAGCGTTGTGTGTTGTGTGCGTGTGCGTGCGAGCCTTGAACAAAATAGAGATCTAGCAGACGTGCCCATCCCATCTTGTGGCAGTGAGTTCCACAAATCAGGCGGGGTTGGCGTGAAACGGTCCCTTTCGTTTCTCTGATGGGAAACCAACACCGACCACGAGTCGCGAAGTGAGAGACAAGCCTGCAAATGATGCCATCTGATTCCTTTTCGAAGACCAAAACAAGAGAGAGAGAGAGAGAGAAAATCCTCAGAAAATCTGCATGAGCAAGAGACTTTGCAGGTTTAAAAATAGCTGCCACGTCAGGCCTTTGTACCTATCGGTTTTCATAAATCTTCGCCAGAGCGGGACTTTCCCGTGCAAAGCTGCTGATGCTTGTAAAACCGGCGATGATTCGCTGCAGTGGCAATCCAGGTTTGTTCTGGGACCTTAGTCCCCAGTCATCCTAGATTGGGTCTTTATTTTTTGCACGCGGTTTCTGGGGAGGGCCGGGGGTTAGAAAGTAAAATCTCTTTCAACCTGAATTTATTTGTGGAGACTTCCCGGCTTGCGAAGGCCAATTTTTGAGAATGCGCTGCAACGTTCAGCAGTATAAGGAGCATTTATGGGGTTTAGGTGCCGGGCAACGGCCAGTTTGCCAAGCGTTGCTCGAGATGGCCGGAACTGTGGCTGGCACCGACCCAGAACCCCCGTTTTGGCACTGAAATCCCAATTTAATTTAACCCAATATGGGGTCCCTAATTTACTCTAACCACAAAGGGCACCGCTTTAAAAGCCCAACTCTGTTCGATGCCGCCTTTGACAAATATAAGTGACCCAAGAAAGGCAGGATTGAGGTTTCCTTTGAGCTTGGCCCACCTTCCCGAATCTAGTTGCCGACCACAGCTTGGAGGCGGCCACCGAAGGCTTGCAATCGAGTTCTGCCGTTGAACATTCAGAGCGAAAGGGCCAGAGGTCGTCAGCTGTGAGCAAGGAGGGCCTTTTTGGGGCTCTTTTTTCCTCTTTTCACTTTGTCATCAACGTTTCCTCCAACGGGTTCAGCCGCGGGATGCCCGTCGCCACCTCGATGGTTTTGCTGAGGTCCGGGATTTTGCAGGATTGACCGCTGCACGTGGTGCCGGGCCAGTTGCGAGATGTTGAATATTTTTGATGGAAGGAGAGCGACGCAGCCTTAAAGAGGAGCGTTTTCCTTAGCGGAATATGGAAGACGGTGGACCTCCCTTGACCGGGTTCTGCCAAAAAACCGTCCACAGCTACTAATGTCTGAATTCGGTTTCTTAAGATGCGGCGATCTGATTTTTATTTGCGCCCTTTGATGGTTTTAGGTAGGCCAAGTTGGAGAAGCTTCACAGAACAGCTGGGGAGGAGCAAAGTAAACTGAGCATGCCCCATGGTGAGGGATGCTGGGAGATGTAGTTCAGCCACTGGTTCTGCCCCTCCACTGCAAAGCTGGAGAATTCCCCTTTTTTTAGTAAATCGTTGCAATTCCCAAAGAGGCCTTTGGCAGCCAAAAGGAGATGTCGCTTTGTCGTGGATGGGTGGCTTAGGATCTTCCAGGATGAAATATTCCCGGAACGCAAGCGGATTTCTTTCCGACACGTCGCCCAGGCCCAGGCAGAGAAGGCAATCATGCAAATGTGGGGATTTGTTTAAAACCTGCACCTGCTTGCTGATCCAAATGGATGCAAATTGAGATGTGGTTGCTAGGACGTGGATTGAAATTCAAGGCTCCCTCCCGGCGGGGAAGACGGGGAAAGGGTGGCTCGGCAGGCATTGCTAAACCCGGATAAGGGATTTCAAAAATGCACGCTCACCCCGGGTTTCTCTTCTTAGACCGACTCAATGAGATCTAGCGACTTGAGATTGCAAGCGAGCTGGTCTTTTTGTCCTCGGTGGGACTGCCCTCCCAACTATGAATGGTCAGGGCTTTAGCTACACAAACTGGCTCCCTTTTGGCTTGTGCAAAGCCATGGCCTATCGCAATTAGTTTTATTATGGATATAATGTCGGTCATTTGGTGAGTGGCCAAGAAACATAGTCGGCAACACAGTGTCTGTCCAGATCATATGTGTGGGCTCTGCCTTTGGTTCTTACCACCTCTTTCTTTTTGTTGATATGTGTGTGTGTGTGTGTGTGTGTGTGTATGTGCGTGTGTGTGTGTGTGTGTGTGTGTATAGACAGACAGACAGACATAAAGTTCAGTGCTTCTCAACTTCAGCTACTTTAAGACGTGTGGACTTCAACTCCCAGAATTCCTCAGCCAGCATGGCTGGCTGGGGAATTCTGGGAGTTGAAGTCCACACATCTTAAAGTGGCTGAAGTTGAGAAATACTGATATAGGTATCAAAATGGTATGCATGGCTGGCTGGGGAATTCTGGGAGTTGAAGTCCACACATCTTAAAGTGGCTGAAGTTGAGAAATACTGATATAGGTATCAAAATGGTATGCTATATATAAAGCCCAGATTTCAGTTAACAGCCCTCCCCGCTTTTAATTCAAAGAAAATAAAAGCAAAATGAGTAAATTGGGGGGGGGCTGCAAGGAAACCAAAAAGCAAGCTGGTTTGGGGGCACGACGACCCCCCCCCCAAGTTGGCAGAGAGAAATCTTTTCACTCTCCCTCCCACAGCCAGGCATTTTATTTTCCTACCCGTCTAAAGACTCGCACTCTGCTCTTCCTGACTGGGGGGGGTGAGTGGTTAGAGGTTTCTGGAGGCTGTGGGAGGAGGGGGGAGCCTCTGTGGGGACAATTTTGAACCCCCTTCTCCGACCTTTGCCTTCCCCGTTGGGCACAACCGTGCGGGGACCCCCGTCATCCCCGGATCCCCACTTTTGACCGACGGGAGGACTCCAGCCTTCTGCTCCGGACTTGCCCGGCCGGTCCTGGTGCCGAATGACGTCGACCGGGTTGCTCGGCATCTGGAAAGGCCAGCGGTTAGTTTGACGTCGCGCTGAGCAAATGCTTTTCCCCTCAACCCGCAGGCTTGGCTGGCTGGCTGGGCTTGACTCCCCGATGGGGACCGAGCCGAGCTCTCGCTCACCTTGCGCTGCTGAGGTTTCAACAGGAAATTGCAGGGGAGAGAAAATAAAACACTTAGACTAGCAGAAACCCACAGGCGGGTCTGGCGTCTGAGTTTTGCAATCGCTGACAAATTTGCGGGGCGCCTGGCTTTGGGCCTGAACTGGGGGAAAGCCCCCCCAAGCCCCAGTTGGAGCTTGGGGGGCTTCTACTTTGCAGCCTTTTTGGCTCCAGGATGCTCACAGATGTTCTTCCCATTCAAAAGCGGCTCTTGTTATGTATTCCTTTGTATATTCCTGCTGCATATTCCAAGGGGATGTGGGCCAACAGCGCCTGGCCCCCCTTGGCTGTTCTGAAGATTGAGTTTATTTCTGAAATTCTACTTTACTGGGCTTAGAGGCAGCGCCAATCTCCGGCCGCTCTGAGTGGCAAGTTCTGGTTCTTACTTGGATGGGAGACCACTAGGAGATCTCCAAGTCATACCTTGATTGGGAAGAGCAGTGGAAAATCACTTCCATGTTGTTGGCTAGAAAACCACCTGGATGTGTCCAGGATGTCACTGAGGACTGAGCTCAAAACAAGATTTGAGCTTGAGTGTTTTCTGAGACGGCAAAGAATCCCTTCGGTAGCTTTCTGGACTGTCCCCTTTTCCAGTCTGAAAAGTTTCGGCATCTTCCTTTGGGATTTTACCCACACTGGGAAGAAGCCGACGGCTTGAGAGCAGATGATCCGGCATCAAAGAGAAGCTCGTATGGCTCTCACAGAATTTGGCTGGGCTTTTTCAGCGAACGTGACGCAGCCTAGCTTTCTCCAAAGAGCAAAGACAATTCTACCTCCTCCCCAACTTTGAAACTCGGCTCCAGGTTTTGCTCAGAGGAAAATACACAAGCAGGTAAGCATTCCCCGACGCAAGGTAACGCAAGCCCGAGAGGCGGGTGTGGGTGTGGATCTGCAAAGCCGGGGGTTGCGTTTGCTGCTGAGTTCGTACCTCACAACCTTTTCTGGAGGCTGCAGAGTCCTCGCTGGGCTTCCTGCCCCCCCGCCTTCTCTTCCCACCCACTTTTATCAGAAAAGCCAGCCGTTTCGCAGCCACGTCACTCAGGAAATGCCCCGTCCCTGCGTAGGTCGCGCAGTACAAAATATGGCCCGGGGTGCAAGATGGAGAAGCCGGGGGAGAAAAGGGGGCAGCTGTTCTCTGGAACGGCGAGAGAAGACGGGTTCCCACGGCTGCCGGTGGCTGACTCGAACCTGGGGGTAAGAAGGAGCAGAAGACCCAAGGGATGGAAGGAAGATACTGCCTGATGTTCTTGACGGCCCTCTGCTTGAGCGTGGAGCCGGGAACAGCTTCCAAGGAAAGGACCCAGGCTGACAGATTATGCTGCGCTGCAAGCCGTTCAGGTAAGGGTGGAGCAGTTTGGTCATTCTCCTTCTCAAAGGCAGAGAGTGGGGCAGTGGTGGGGTGAAACTACAACTCCCAGAAGCCCTAGCCAGCTCAGCTAAGGAGGAGGACGCTGGGAATTCTCCTTTGGCAACATCTGGGTTGGTTTCCCCAGTCGGGTTGAATCCGCTCGAATTGGCCCCTCTTCTTGTTCTTTGGGGCGCTAAACGGCCACGCTCTGTAGCAAAAGGAAGCCTGCGCTCTGCACATGCTCTTGGGCCCTGCTACAGTCATCGCTTCAGGGGCTGGCTGGTCTCACCAATCCTACCCCAGCGTTTCAGGAGCCACCGTGCAATCTAGCCTGCTTCCTTCTCAGAGCTAGAGTGGCAACCGGGGACGATGGTCTGCATTTTTCGAGTCTGCAATGCGCCAATTGGGGCAGGGAGATGCGGCGCTGCCTTTGCGGACCTCTGTGCGGGACCGTTGCAAACTCTGAACATTTTCACTCCTTTTAATCTTTTGGAGCAAATGAATACAAGCATGAGTTTGTCAACACTTGAGCCCAACTTGGAAACTTTTTCCAACTTGGTTTCAACCGGCGGTCTGTTTGTTGAGATGAAGCTTTCCTTTCTGCATCTGGCCTCCCACCTCGTTGTCAACCTTTCTCGTTTGTCGTGAACTGTTTTGGGTGCCCGATCTGCACGGCCGCGCTCCCCTCTTTATGCAGAGGTCTCCAGCTAACTGTCTATGATCATCCAACTCACCGAATTCTCTGATTTTTTCCCCCCCTTCGTTGGCTTTCTCCGACTCTTTGCTTTTGAGGGAGCCAGGCTGGCTGGGGAATTCTGGGAGTCGAAGCCCACCCGTCTTAAAATGGCCAAGGTTGAGCAACATGGTCTAGGAGATCCTTCCAACTCGAAGGCTCTATGAATACAGTGTTAGACTCCACAACTTTTGTCTCTTCTAGGAGGGGGTAAGAGCCAACGATGACGCTCTACCATCCCTCTAGAGATCTGTATTTCTATATCTATGCTTATAAGCCAGCCCCTCTCTTCCTGTGCCAACCCTTCCATATTCACATTCCACATCTCATCCCTTAGCCAGAAATGCCATCAGAGACTCAGGCTGATAGGTTAGGGGGTTGCTTTGCCTGCCAAAAAACGCTCACCAGCATCCTGGTTCATCTTACCGCCAGCGTGGCCTAGTGGTTAAGCTGCTGGAGGAGACCCAGATTCCAATCCCCCCGTGCCAACCCAATCCCCACCAACTGGGGGGCTTTCTCCTTTGCAGAATGGTGGTTCCGGGAGAAAAATATGGGGGAGTGTGTCCTAAGCGGCCGTGAGCCCCCGAGCAGAAAGTGGGCTGCCGATCTGTGATTTTTATTTTTATTTGTTGTTCTTGACAGCGGAGCCCCCCAAAAGCTGTGGGTCCTGTGGGCCTGGTCAGTGCTGCAAAGATAAGCGATGCAGTCAGTGTGCCCCACTCTTGCAGTGCCCGGAAGGAAAGGAGCTGTATTGCACAGGTAAAATTGGAATTAATTCTTGCCGGGTTCTACATACAGTCATCTTCTGAGCAGGGGAAGATACAGCGCTTAGCCCGAACCAGAAACATCTGGAGTGCTTTTCCGTCATTTAGAGCAGGGATTTGCACCCAGGGTAGAGCAGGCCCTCCCACCCTGTTAAATCTTTCTTTTTAGGAAGAACTTGGCTCAGTGGAAAGATTTAGACTGCCAGATTTAATGATCAATAAGGGGGAAGATGAAATCTTTTGAGACCGGATTGGTTCCGATGTTTTCAAATAAATAGCATAGTTTAAAAGGATGACAGAAACCAGGGGAAGTACCCACAGATTGACTGAGTTGGAAAATCTTTGAGCCTGTCACTCGGAACATCTGCTCGGCCTTATTTGTAAGCTGCTGGTGAAGTCTGACTCAGAAACTGAGTAAGTCAAAGATTGAACGATTAAACGCAGGCAGAATTTGAACACAGCAAGAGATAGGCAATCCTGGGAACTTCGGTGGAAGAACATTACATTTACGCCGAAGATTATCTTTAGAGAAAATTACAGTATATTCAGAGAAAGACTGGAGTCTGTTACCCCAGTTATGGTTGCTGAAATGGACGAGTTGTTCACTAAAACTTGCTGGAAGTAATAGCGAGGCGGTCAGATTATTCTTTTATATTTGACGGCAATGGTTGTTAGACTCAACAGTTTTGGAAGATGATGCGTTCATCAATGGAATGAAACACATTTTTAAAAATGCATTCCCATTTCAAACATTCTTATTCAACTTTACCTAACCATATATTCCTTCAAAGTCTACTAAATTAGCCCTGTACTGTATATGCTAATTGCTGCAAGGGTGTCATATAGTATTATATAATTATATAGGGTTTTTTTTACTGGAAAGGTCATCTGATCCCTTTAGATATGGGAATATGCTTTGACATCTGGAATAAATCCCTATCTTAAAAGTGACACAGAATTCAGTTCAAACAGAAAACTGTTCCTAGAGTACCACTTCATATATGGATTTGTACCACATCCAAAATTTGGAGTTCTGTACGCATAGGGTCTATATTTCAGTTTTACAGGATATCACATTAAAATAGATGCTCAGTAACATGGATAAAATTTACTGTGATTTATCATCGTGATTTATATTGTGTTCGGCATGGTTCTTGATATTCATGCTTAGCTTAGAGCTTTATAATTTCCAGTCTTTTAAAATAATGTAATATAAAAAGTTATTCATGATTAACTAATCTCATCGCAGAAAGGTACAATCTTTAGGATACACGTAGTCCTCATTTAGCGACCACAATTGGGACGATCTGAACGTGCATGATTCTTTCTCAGCCTGTTCAAATTGTGGGGA